GTGAGAATAGTATAAAATATTCTCTTCCTTCGACAGATTCCAGACAACCTTTTGAAAAACCTAAGTATTTTATATTGATTTTAAAAAGTTCCATGGGACACTATGATATGTTTCAGATAAAATAGAGTATGTCTTGATATTCTGACATTGTTTGGATCAAATCTGACTGAGTTATGAACTTTCTAATTTTACATGAAAATAAGAAGCAATGGGTTATTTCACCTAGTATAAAGTTTTACTAGATTTCTGAACTTTTTCGAAAGACAAATATCGCCACGAGAATCTTCATGGTTAAAAACCTATGTTTGCTTACATTACTGAGGCTCCCAATCCTGAGAATGGTTGGTTCCGAGGATATCTAAGTGGTCCCAGCAAAACGTCTATAAATACCAAACGAAGAAACATAGCGGTCTCAGACTTGTGTAGTCTTGTAGAGCAGATGTTGCTCTACCTAGATGTAAATTTAGGACGAAACTTTTGTCTGGAATCCTTTCCACAACACTGTTGGACATTTTGTCCGACATGGTACACCACCTGCAGATAGTAGCTTTTAGATCTCTTTTAGGTCTTTCGATAGCTCCATCAATTTACTTCAGAATGGTGGAAACCAGACCTCTGTAGCTCATTCCGATCAACCATTATTCAAAAAACATCAGAATGACTTTTCGCTTTTTGACTCCTTGGCACTAGGTCGAAATATACCTACGTGTACTACGTAGTGTCGAATACTGCTGAAACTATCAGCCACAACCGATAAAGGTTCATTGGGACAAGTCCATGTGAAACACAGTAGAAACGAAGGCTGATCCAGAGACAGTGTATTACGAAAGCTACTTTCCTACGACTTATATATCAGCGAGAAAACATGGAGAGCGCTCGCAGACGTCTTCAGTTCTTGAATGAATATGAATGGAGGGAAGAGAAAGCAAAATGATACGTCCTAGATGAATAATCATAAACAATTTGATCCAACTATAATCGATGATGACATCAGTATTAGATTAATGAAATCTTTTATTGATTACACTTGTAATATCCTTAAGAAAGGAAAATGTCAGCATTATTTTATTGAAGATGTCAATATTCTTGACCAGTATGATTATGATTTTTTGGATTTTATTCATGAAATATTAATAAATATTGCTATACCAGATCAACAACATCAAACAAATCTTAAAGGCGAAAAATTATGTCGTTATTTAAATTTTATAGATCTAACTCCTGAAATGGTTGATAAATTTGATCAATTACAAACAAATTATTTTTCTAGTCGAAGTCAAATATATATCCCTAAAAAATATGATGGTTTATTACAAACAACGTTTATTGATTTATATACAGTTGAATTAGATATGGACAATTGGTGGGATAACATTAGACAACTCCTTCATATCGATACTAATGTAAATGATAATAATGAAGATTTTGATATTGATGGACTTAGTGTAGCCGATATATGTGGTAGCCTAATATTTGTATCCAATGTATTACAAGTAGGTTATTCAGTAATTGAAGACATGATTCATGACAATCATATACTGGAATATTTATTTAAAAATAAAAAATATTTAATCAAATATGCCATTAATGTTGGTAATAGATGGATGTATGACAGACATATTTTGTCATTGAAACAACAATTATTTACTAAATTTTATCTTACAATGGATTCACCATTGAACGGTAAAATGTTTAGTCATAAATATCAAACACGTCATAATGATAAATTTCATATTAGAATTAGTCAAAACGAGATATGTGTACAATTTACAAAAGATCAAATTGTTGATCACTACTGGATACAAATACTAACTGATACTGTTGCTGACATTCTGTTTTTGATTGGATGTGGTTATTCTAGTTCAAAATTTGCTTTATACGATAAATTATTAATAAAAAACACAAAATCAAAAAGAAAACGACTTGTTAACGTATTCGAATTTTTTCAGAGAATATATAATGCCACGCGTGTCGAAGATGAAATATGTTCAACTAAATTGTAATTGTAAACAACCTGTACGTCTTTCTCTTTTAAAAATATACTAAGCTCTTATAATGAACTAGCGAAATCATTTGTTTGGGTTGTACAAGAAATCGTGTGTGATTACTCTTTGATTATGCTAAGACAACTACCCTTGATTTCTTCTTTCGCAATGATTGACTTTTTATTACAATATTCTGTACGGCACACAGTTAAACAAATTTCAATAGTTTAACTTAGGAATAAGTTAAACATTCCGAGCGATTAAATAACTTTATATGACCATTTGATATACAGATCGAGCTCTTCTACTTCGATATTATCAACGATCAGAGGAAATAATGTGCCATTACCATTACTGGACAACAAGTATTGTTTTATTTGAAGTAAGTTATGTGTATGATTGTTAAACGTTAAATTTGCAACCTGATTTCAAATTTCAAATGATTATCGTCAACGGCTACACTGTAACGATAAACGCGTATTTTGAATAACCGAACGGATTTAGAAACAACAGTATGAAACCCAAAATGATTTAATATCTACTTTACAAAAGGGTTTAGTAATGAAATATTCGATAGAAAATTTTTTCTAAAGTGGAAAAAAGTTATAAGTCATAGCAATCAAAGTCATAAAAATCAAAAGAGCTTGTCGGTTTGACCAAATTATGAAAAGCGTTTTTTAGAACGTTGGTAGAAACCAGAAGGGTTTTTTCCTAAACCCATCTGGTTTAGGAAAGCATTAATTATTTTGGATTTTTCAAGCAGCACAGGATTTTCCAGTATTAGCAAAAGATCAATCAAATATGTTATATGTTAGAGAGTGATATCTAACGACCAGTGTTTTCGTACATAAAGAATTCACTTCTTCACTCTTTGTTTAGTTACTTATTATCGACAGTACAGAAAGGAAAATATATTTTTCTTTTTCCGCTTTCCCTCAAAATCATAAAGTTTAGTCTTCTCTGTACTATACACTACTATTTATATTGTACGTATGGACTGTAAACTGTTAGTTCCTTTGTTAGTTAGAATGTTTGAGATTCTCTCTCTTTTTTATTGTGTGATATAAATAGGCTTGTTTTTCTCATGTAACTTCAGTGTGTGAGAGTGTGTGTATATTGTAATAGCGGAAGCTCTGTTCAGTTTTATTGTACATATTTATTTTATACAATATATATTCGGATCCAAGAACAGAGTTAGTTCAGAGCAAACAATTCAAGTATTTCGTGAGCCAATTACATCCACTACCCCGGCGGGTGATGTAACATTATATTTCGAAACATTTAGCAATATTATCATCAGTTCAAAAGGCCTTCTCCCACTGATGGGTTTAAACCATCTGAGTTATAACTAGTTGGAGTATAACTTAGGAAATTAGTTATAACTAATTGAACTTTTAGTCAAAACATTTACAACATTTATAACTATCAACTCGAGTTGATTGATATAACTGCAGTTGAGAGAGTTATAACTATTTGCACTTTAGTTATAACTGTGCCGTAATATAAACTGAAATGAGCTTTCATAATTTTATTTTGGGTGGTTAGTCATTACTAAAACTGATGCAGTTCTAACTGGAGTTGGAACGGTTATCACTCTAGCCATCTGGAGTTGCAACACATTCAACCGCAGTTATATCGATCAACCCGACTTAAGTGTTATAAGTGGGGTTCATAGTTATAACTAGGGTTTTAACTGTATCGTTTTAACTGTGTTAGAAATTTTCTCAACTTTTAACTTTCAAAAAACAGTTTAAACTCATCAGTGGTATTTTACGAATGGTTAAAACAATTTTTAGTCGGAGAAAAGTGATGACTACACAGGTAGATACATATAACTTTGAGCTATGCACTGATGTAAAAATTGTCTGAAAATTCATTACCGATAATTAGTATAATCTAATAGCATATTAGCATAAGATAATCAAATAGCAAGTAGTCAAGATAGGTATGATGAGGACGAGTATTATGGTATAGATGAAATTTCATAGAAGAATGTATTCATTTTAAATATATTATTTTCAATACCAATCAAAATACATTGTTACATTCGAAAGTCGAAAATCTTTTAAAATTTATCGTGGAAAAAAACATAGAGTCTAGTTTTCCAAACATAGAAATCGCATTAAGAATGTTCCTCAGTATTGCTATAACAAACTGTAGCGGGGACAGATCATTTTCTGCTTTGAAGCGCACAAAAAACTACTTTCGTTCTACTTTGGGGCAAACAAAACTAAACAATTTAAGTATTTTGGCTATAGAATCTGACTGTTTAAAAGGCGTTGACTTTGATAAAATTATAGACAAATTTGCCCAAAATAAATTACGTAAGATGAAAATTTAAATACGATGATATTTTTTTCTTATATTAATTGAAGTTGTGTTTAATTAATGTTTTTATTTATTTTTGTGATTATTAAACTACCTAATATAGAATACCTAGAATGAAAATGTAAATGTGGTTACTTTTTTTCACACTAAGAAAAATAGTTACCTATATGATCTCTTTTTTTATTTTCTTTATTTTGATTAAAGGAAGAAGCATTTTACATTTCTATAATATATATATACCTATTTTTTTTTCTAAATAATTAACTATTTATGAATTCCAATAAAAGAAATATTATATTCATTTGAAATTAAATTTTATATTGAATGATACTTCAGAAAAGCCTAAAACTTTACAGTAGTGATTTTCATAAAAAATATAAAACATACATAAAAATTATTGCATCTACTTACGAGTACACGTTACTACACTAAAAAGATTTTTTTTAAATTCTTAGGAAAACGAGGGGACCCATGTTAATGATTAGCACAGGGGCCACAAATTTCTTAAAACGGTTCTGATTCAAGTATTTGTGTTCAATCTAATTATCACGTGCTTATACGTATAAGTATAGCCGTGCATTTTCTTTTATAGATACGGTATATTGGGTCCCAATAATACTGGTCACCCAGTCTATTGGATTTTTACAATACTATTGGGTATTGAATGGTTTGAGTTCAGCCTGTTTTTATAAATGGAAATATTAATGTTAAAAATCGGGTACGAAGAATGCTAATGCAAAACATTGCATAACTTGGACTGGTGGTCGAGTACATCGCATCCAAAGTCCACTTTCTTCCAGTTTTTTAACACTTGTTTCTAGTCTTTTTTACCACCGCAACATTTCTAAAAATTGCACTTGCGTAGCTACATTTCTCAAGTTTCTTCATTAGTGCTTTCTTGTCATAAGAAAGTTGGGAGAAAAAGTAATATTTTAGTGATTATCGATGCCTGACTGTTATATAAAATGTTGTTTTCTACATCAATTTCGTTCAAGCCATGTTCAACTATTATCGTATAGAGCATCGATTAAGATGTATTTTAGATGAGAGTGAGTATAGAGCACTATCGTTAAATGGGTTAAAATATCATACTTAAGAAAAGTTTGCGGCATCTTCGTGTAAGTTCGATGTAATCTTCGTTCTGCCGCGAATGAACCTATGTTTCTGGTTTTATTTTCGATGCAAAGTGCTAAAAACTGTTAAGATTCCTTTTTTATGCTTGGAAACACATGTTACCTTTGGTTCAATCGTAGTTTCGATTTGAAAGTTGCATTTATCTTTCTCAAAACATTTTGAAGTTAGTTGTGAATTAAACTTTATTGTCCAAGGGTTATCACATGTCTTTACTCATTATGTAGAGGCGGCGGAACCATAGGGACCTTGGCCAACTTTGTTTGTTTATATTTTGTTGGTCATCTTGGAATTCTGAGTTGCATAGGACTAGTAGATGCCTCATCTCTCGATTATAAAACAGACTAGATCAATTCCCGATTGACCTCATCCAATCGAGAATGCTAAGTTAGTCTGGGCCAGTTTAGAATCAGGCTGCGACATATTAGAATTGTTCAATACAACATGGATTTTTCAATAATAATTGTAAAAATGAATATCGATGTCTTTTCTTTTGATTAGTTTAAAGGATTTCCTTAAATCTTTAGAGTTTTAATGGTTTCAAAATATTTTTTTGAAGTACAAAGTGGGTTCTTTTTTACAGATGTTCTTGAGACATTTTAGAATTGTATAATTCTATTAGGCACTTTTAAAATGAAAAACAGCACATCTTTGAATTGTTTTATTTTTATTCTTATTGGTTTATTTCATAAACCAATATTAATAAATACTAGCGAGAAAAAGAACCAAAAATCAAAATCAAAATTTCTCATTTTCCATTACAACATCTTATACACACTGTAAAACCCAGTGACAATCGAAGAACAGATTTCTCCTCTCAGAAAATAGCTAGAGAGCTCGGACTACTTTTAAAATATAAAATGAAGTTAGGGTAAGGACGTAACAGAGTCGGAATTTTGAGTTTTCTTGGTTGTATTTTCCGAAGGATTTCGGAAAAAATACTTTTTTTCTTCTGAAAATTACTTTTCCTTTGATCTATTTCGATCTTTAAGAGTTTGGTAAAGCTCTGTATAGGTTTCGACCATGCAGATTCTGATGCACATATGCTCGCACATATGTCACATATACGTATGTGTATGTGAATGCTTTCTTCACAATACCATTCTTTTACCTATAAAGTATATGATGTATACATTTCCACCAAAACTCAATTGCGTTCTCTATTATGCATGCTTACTACGGTTTTATTTTGTTTCTAATGCCTACAGCTTAATTAGCAATATTAGCTACCATTTTGGAGCAAAAAAACCGAATGATGTTCAACCTTCATCTGTACAAAAAAAACATGCTTCCTTGCACTGACACAGGAAGAACATCTCTCAACAGAAAAATAACATCGCTAATATCTTGTTTTAGGATGGTTAAGCATTTTATTAAAGCAACCGTTTCCAGAAACATATTAATAACTATGAATTAACTTATGACTGCTGAGATTTTGTCTTTTTCTAGGAGTAACATATTCTGGTCGTTGGCATACTGAAGGTTGTACTGAAAATATACAGGCAGTTGGTGTTTACTACTTGTACATTGATAATGAGTTAGAAGGTGGTGCATTAAAGTTTCGTCCATCAGTATCACCAGACAAAAATTATGCCGAAATGTATAACATTGAAATCAATCATTATATAATGCCAGAAACAGATGCAGCCATTGTATTTGATAATTGTTTGCCACATCGTTTCTGTTCAATACGTAATTCAACATCAATTGCTCGTCGTCGTACATTTCTCAACTTTTTTGTTGTATGTCCCTACTATCCGATCGCTACATTATCAATTTCAGATTTACCATTAGTTAGCTATGAACGATGTCAGACTATGTTGAAAAACATTGAAGATAAGAATGGTCAACAGAAACTACCAGATTTAGTCGTAGACAAGATCCTCTCATTTCTGGAGAAGATGTGGCAAACTGACATGGATGCAAAAGAATTTCATTCACGTGTAAGACATGAAATGGTGCACGAGAAGAGTGGTTGGGCTGGTATTCATTATGGTAATAGTGGTGATACTGTATTTATTAAGTCGGCTAATGACTGAAGCCAAAGGGTAGAACAACATCTATACTGTGAACGTTCGAACGAATTAGAACATACCGAATCTGAATAGAGAGTAGGAAGTGGAAGAAAGACAGGGAGAGAGAGAAAGAGATAGGAATCAGCGTCAGACTAAATTTGACAAAGTCCAGGTCTAAGTTTTATTTTAACTCTCAAATTCCTATCACTACATAATTTTCTTTCAAATAAAAATTCATTCTTTGACGAAAAATCAAGCGTTTTTCTAGCAATGGATTAGATACTTCAGTTTACCCTGTCCGTTAGTCACATAAAATTATTTCAGTAATGATACACACCAATGTTGCTTTGGTTCATTTAAAACTAGTCTAAAATATGGACAACCTTTATCTATCGTATAAACCATGCTCTTCCTCACTTTGACTATGACAATGACAACATTGATAGTAGTGACAGACGATCATCAGAACAATAACAGTTACCAGTACTAGTAACTGATAAATTCGATCATGAAACATCGGTCAAAAGATGATAATACCTAAATCCAGAGGAAATTTAGTTAGAGATCGATACTGTTACTTTGTTATGTTTAGGTTGTGCACATCATGGTTCTGAATGGTGACGAAGCATCTCCTTCCCTTTCCTTAGGAACGAATTTTGTTTTTCGGAAAAAATAAAAATGTTTTTCAAGAAAAGCAGGGGAGAAGTTTTTAGTCCAACAGAATTGCTCAAAACACTCTAACTTTTAACCGCACCTTTTTAAAACAGCTGTCGCCGGGAACATAGTAATAGAGAACTTGTCGTGTCAAATAAACTTTGAACATGTAAAAATAATAATGCTTTAACTGTGAGAGAATACGGAGTTTAAAACATAGAGAATTACTTGTCTAGAGTTAGACTGTAAAAAAATTATTGTCACTTCCTGTAATTTCATGACGAGTTAGATGATTTGAAGCATCTAAACGACAAAGAAATTCAACGTTAAGAGAACAGAAACAAACACATTTTATCTTTTCACTAAACAGGCATAAATAAGAGATGTACTACCAATTCGTTGTGTATTGGCTCTCTCTCTTATAGCTACAGTGGTTTCATGTGAGAATGTTTCTCTTCCACTATATATACATATTTGTTTAACATATTGTGTTGCACAACTTCAATCGATATACAAAATAAGAAGCAGGACAGCACAGGTTATTTTTGTAAGTTTGACCTATAAAGATAAAATGTGTTTGTTTCTGTTCTCTTATGCCCAAGCAAAAGGAAAAATCGATAAGCTAGCTCAACCTAGGTAAAGCGGTACATTTAGCTAGCTCCAGCTAGGTAGTAGCCAGCTTGAGCTAGCTAGAGTAGTACTAAATCACATGAAGCAAAATCTCGAATATATTTGTGGTTGGTTTGTGGGCGTGTGACAGAAATGTCAAATGAAAAAATTAACGTAAAATGCACTGATTTCCCGATCGGAACCTGATCGAAAACTTTTGGAGTTTTCAAAACAGAGGGATAGAGTAGATAATCTAAACAAGAATCCTTTGTTATAGTAACGATCGTATGAGTACAAGCTAGCAAAAAAACCGCTCCAAGATCACACAGAGCCTAGTACATTGGTATGTCAGAAGGATCAGCATTGAAATCGCCTGCGATAAAAAGAATATCATAGAGAGAAGGTAGAGAGGAATGGAGAAAGGACTCTAGCTGAGTGAAATATCCATCTCTAGATTCTTTAGGCCGATAAGAATTACAAATCATAAAGATACGGTCGTTTACTATAACCTTCGCTAGTATCGATTCTGTGTTAGCGTCAATCGCAATCAAGGAGCACTGAAAAAGATCTGGAATGTAGATGAGGACTTCTCCGTGCCGATTACGATCACGTCTGAAAATAGAGTATCCGGGTAGGCAGTATTCTAGATCTGATATCTCTGGTGATAAAAAGGTCTCTTGTAGACATATGATATGAGGTTTAGCAGACAGGATAGTTTGTAGAAGTAGCGTTAAGTTGGCAACAATACTTTGAATGTTATGATTCAAAATAGTAAAAGAGGAAGAACTAGATAAAGTAGTTTTAGATTGACAAACAGATGAAATTTGAGCTGTGTAGCGAATTTCGGGACACAGCCGAAATTTGAGACAAACTACTAGAAGAGAAAGCGTTAGTAAGAGAGAGATCGCATAGAGACAAAGCAGAGCTAGAACTGTCGCTACTGGGTAGAACAAGACTAAAGACTATTCTTTAAGTATTTATCCATTGAACCACTTAGTTTGAAAGTATCTGAATCGCTCAAATGATGTCCATCACCCGATGTCATATCACGCTTGTCATAATCGATCGGTATCAAATCAACACCCATAACTCATGGTTAGAGATGCTAATTCTCTGTTATATTCTTTTATATCTTCATTTAAAGCTTCGACTGAGGCTTTCAAGCCACAAATATTCGTTGGAGATAGAGTGGTTAAAGCTAATTTCGAATTTGGATAGGAGTTTTTAAATGTTACAATCAAAAGTTTTGTTTTATCAACCCAAGCAAAAAAATGCCTTTGAGATTATCTAGCTATAAAAATATGTTATCGGGCAATATCGGCTTGTGATAGCTAGCTATCCGTACCACTTTTATTGAGTTAGCTAGCTATATCGAGTATGAT